TACAATCTTTAACAACATACTATTGGTATAACTAAGATGATTTCTTTTTACTCTAAGTAAATATAATTTTAAAAATCTCTGTACATGAAATTAAGAAAAAGAAAAAATAACACATTTTGGTATTTTAATATTAATTGTAATAATTCTATAAAAATAAACATTTAAAAAATTTTTTCCAGACATGTAAGAAAAAAAAAAGAGTGAAGATAAAGTCAGATATAGTTTTTTTTTTTTTTTTAAAAAAGAGTTGCCACTGATAGATATATATATATATATATATATATATATATATCTAAGTTAAATGTTTTAGAGGATACCTATATTTGAGTAGATGTTCTGTCAATTTCTTAATCAGTTAATTTATTTTTATCTACCAACTTGAACATAAGCTTGCAATGCTCTTTGGTTTAAATTGCATCAGATCTAATGATGGTTTCACTGCAAAGGGAGATGCAGGTTTTAATTCTGCAGTAGGGTGTACCTTTTTTCTTTAATAAGATTTCTCGAATATTCAAACTATCAGACAAAAATACAGTTAAAAAAAACAAACAAAAAAAAACAAACAAACAAAACATAAAAAAATAAACAGGGCATCTACTAAAATATAGATATCCACTAATAATAATGTTTAAAGTGGTAAAATCTGTTGGATTAATAAAAAAAATCCATTACTTTAGAATAAATAAATGTGTGTGCGTGTGTGTGTTACTGTTGAGTCTATTCTGTCAATTATGATGTATGAGGGTTCAACAATTCTTAGAATTGAACTACTACACTACCTACATCTATCATTTGATTATACTGATAAAGACTTCTGCTGAACCAACCACACTTTTTTGAAAGAACTGATAACAGAACTGTGACACAGTATATCCAAAAGTCTCCAAAAAGCCATCCTCAGGTATGGAATTCAGAATTGCCCTTTCAAACTGGTTACCAGCCAAAGCTAAAGAGAATTTTAAACCTAATTATATAACCTAGTTTTAATAAAGTAGATTTTTCCTTTCCACTAATCTCAAAGCAAAAGTATTTCTTTTACTTTTCATTTTAATAAACTTGATAGTGCATATGGTGTATAGCAGTGGTTCTCTAACCATTGGGCTGCAGAATATTTGGTACCAGGCCACACAGAAAGAATAAAAACCTTTTTGCCCCCATTTTATTGACTATATAATTGGCTGTCTTCTTTATTGCATTTTATTATGCATATGACCAACACTGAGCTCCTCCTGCCTGACAGTCCTTGGAAAAATTGTCTTTCAGGACACCAGTCCATGGTGGAAAAAGGTTGAGGACCGCTGGTGTACAGAAACCCAACACAAAGATATTTCTCTTGAATCATGACTAAACTTATATAAATTAATGTGTCATCTTTTTTTTTTCTTTTTTAAATAGAATCCCACTAAAAATAAAATTGTCATTTTCAGAAATGTTGAAGAGGAAAAAAAAAGGGAAGTATTTTCAATCCGCAAAATTTTAAAACAAATGATTCTTTTTTCTTCAAATCATCATCAGATAAGATTCAAAATCTTGGCAATAGAATTACATAAAGAAAAAATATATTCAGAATTCAATTCAGCTTTGTTATTTATGCCATTAATCAAATTAATGAGTTCATGAGAAACCAAATCCCAAAGCAGTCATTCCTTTTGTTAATTAAAATTAGCCGACTGGTTATTAGTGTAGGTTAGGCACAATCATTTTACTGGGTGGTCAGCAGTTCAATCCATGGGTAGGCAGTCAATTTCATATAATCTAATTAAGAAGGAACACTTTTTTTCTATAAATATTTTCATGGAAATTATTCTGATAGGCTCTTCTCCTTGGTACCTACACTGCATGAATTTAAGCTTACTACTAAGATTGGCAACTAGGTCTCATCAATATACTGTTGAAATGGCTAGATGTAACCATAAATTCTATTCTAATGATTTCTTTTCCTGCACTTCTTGCTTGTGGAACTTTCTAGTTTTTTGCTTCTCCTACAATCTTTAAAAATTGAAATTCAACATCCATCCGAATCCTGTTCTTTTATTGTCCTTTCTTCTCACTAAAGCCTTCTCATCATTCCCTTGAGACTTGGTGGCATTATCACCTTGATTGGGATGAAAAGATAATATTACATATATTTGTTCTTTGGGAATCAGTGTAATTTAATGTCTTTTGTCTGTAGGTTACCCAGATCAATATACACTTGAGAAAGGCCGGAGTACACAATAGTCAAAACATTTGAAACATCAAAGATGAGGACAATAGTCTGAATATAAATGGTATAACTACCACATTCTTTTGCCTTAAGAAAGCTTGGTTGAATAAATCAGCTTTATTTTTATTGATTAATTCATTTTGTATGGCTTAATCATGTTGCAGGTTATTTAAAGCCAGAAAATATATTTTAGATTATAAGAATTGGGCGGGGGGCAGATAATGATTTAGTGATACAAGACTTACTAATTAACCTATAACTGGAGGGGGGGAGGAGAAGATATGGATTCATACTTTCCCAAAGCCATTTGCATACAAGTGAATATAACGAACCCAACTGAAATTGGAACTGCTCTCCAATTAACAATTCCGAGTCATTATCCATTACAACACCTGCACATTCAAGTGGTCACCCATCTAGATACTGACCAGGCCTGACATGGCTTAACTTCAGTGATCTTACAGGAAATGGTGTTTCAACATGTTATGCTCATAAACAGTTTTTTTTTCTTTTCTTTTTTTTTAATCAGTAAGTTGTGTGGAAAGAAACTCCCTATTGAAAATTTATACTTTTTTTTTATCAATCTCACCATGTCATTTGCACAAAACAAAATATATTGTGACCTCTAATGTGGTAGAACATCATTACTAATTTCTGTTTTTATTTCAAAGTGACACATGTAGCCCAGAATGGTACAATACCTGACATTGCATGACCATGCTCAGCTAGCATCCCGTCATGAGGTATGACAGTCTGTGGTACAAGTGCAGAGACAATATGCTATAGTAGACCTCAAAATCATCAGAAATAGTCATTTCAATCTGAAGAGTACAGGATCTGTGGTCGGTTGTCCTTCAATGTCCAGTTTGGAAGAAAATGTGAAAAAGGTGCAATTTTAACATTGGACTTCTACCATTGTACTGTTCAAAATAAAAACATGTTTTATGAAAATCAACCCATAATAAGGTTATTAATGTTAAATATGGAGTTTTTTTTCCAAATCCATCCTGTAGAACTTGACTGTTTCACAGCAGAATAAATCTAACATTTACAAGTATTATTTCATTCTACAATTGTCAGTGCCATTTTTTTTTTTTTTACTCTAACAATAGTAGTATTTCAGATGTAGTAATGTTGAACAGCTATAGATTGACAGTTTGAGTAAAAGTTATAAAATAAATTTTTTTTATTTTTTGAAAATATTGAAATGAAAGTAAATACTAATGAAATAGTTAATAGTTGACAAGGTTTCATCTAATAAAAATAATAGTGCTAGTATATTTTTTTTTAAAATCATTTCACCCCAAGCAATGCAATAAAGCCACTAAGATGTAAGAGGTTATGGAGTGTAAGATAATATGAAAAAAAACTATCTATTAAGGAGAGAGGGCAATAAAAAATAAGACACTGCATTTAAATTTTTAAAGATCAAAGTTGACTGGGATGCAAGAAGCCAGAAGAGAATTTCACAGGTGAGAAGTGCAAGAGAAGAAACTGTTAGCATAGAACTTACGGTTACATCCCAGCCATTTCAACTGAAAAATGTTATGAATAACAGGATTAATATCAAAATTCAATTTTTTTTTTTTGTAGAGGGTTGCAGTGTGGTGTGTGTATGACCGTAAGAAATGGTCAGAAGTGAAGTTCATGGGGGTATGCAGGAAAGACAATGGTTAACCCTAGATTTGAAGAGGTCCAAATTGTAGAGATTGGGAAAACATCCTACCAGGAGTCTGTTCCACAAATCAGTAGTTCTTGAGAAGAATCTGTCTGAATGGAACTTCCTCCTTATTAATGGAATACAAAGAGAATGAGAATGATTCGCCCTTGCGTATGTGGCATGGTGTGTCCTAAATTCTTACTTTATTCCATCATGTCATATTCAAGATCAACTGTCTCACTTTTTGGTTGTTACTCAGTTTCTTTATGGTGGTTCCTGTTCTCCTTAAATATTTCCTTGTTTGGAATTTTTTTTTTTTTTTTTTAAATCATTTCACCCCAAACAAAGTAATAAAGCCACTGAGATGCAAGAGGAAACAGTGTTAGAGAAGATGAAAGTGTTTATAGAAAAGGAACAAGGAAACTACATTATGACAGTGGGAAAGGAACCAATACCAAGATGCCAGGTGAGGAGCAATAACATTCAGAAATAAATAGTGTTAAAAAAAGTTGAAAATGATAGCATTAATGAGGCATTAAATGAGTCTGTCTGAGGCAAAGGGGATGTGAGTTCACATCTCACCAAAAGTTTATCTTTTATTTCTGATTCTGTGTCGTCTACTCACTGCTGTAGATTGACAACCTGAGAAAAAGTTACAATAAAAAAACCAAAAAAAACAAAACAAAAAAGTAACAAAAAAGATGAAAGTAAATAGAACTAAAAAATTAATAACTAGTTTTAACCTGTGAAAATTTCACGGCTTTCCTATTTGAAATTTCTGATGAATCTTAACATTTAACCCTCTGCCTTATCAATATTACTTCCCTTTCCATTGCATTCTTTTTCAATTGCAGTAACCTTATTGTTAAGTTCACACAAAGTTGTTTTCTGTTGCCATAGAAGGATATGACAACACAACCATGTCCAGGGATCAGTTAGCTTCAATGGCAAAATAAATATTTTGTACAGCAAATGAAGTCACATACAGAGTGATAAAGGTTAATTCTTCAGTTAATGACTGAATAAGCTCATGGCGAGTTCTACAACAATATCAATAGAAATTCCCCTATCGCATCATTAAATATTTGACAAGATATTGCAATAACCAAATATGAATGCTGGTTGTTACTTTAAGAAGGAGGTACAAATGAAAAACATTTGAAATAACTTTTTCCATTTCCCTGAAATAGCTGTTAAACTTTCTTTCATTTTCCCACTGAAACCAAGTAGCCTCTTTGATGTCTTTTGTCTTCTCATGCAATAGTCCATTAATTATGAGGTATTAGCAGACATTTCTTTTTCTCACTGAAACCAAGTAGCATGTTTGATATGTCTTGTCAGGTGATGAAAACGGAATAGTCTATTATTTATGAGATACTGGCAGGTGATAACGGGCATGTGAACTAATGAAAGGATGGACAAGCACAATTGTTATAAGATGGTTAGAATGGTTCAATAAAGATAAGATGAAAATAGTTTGTACTCCATACTTAAGCCTCACAGAAAATAACTGATGATTAACAGTTGATAAGAGACTACCAAAATGCTTAAGTTTTGAGGTTCTTAACTAAATGTTCAGTCACTCTAAAAGTGATACTGGTAGTGTTTAGCTCATTGTCAGGTTATCAACAACTAAACTAGTTTCCCTCACCAAGCTTTTCTGTTGAAGAGGATACCTGGACACATAGCAACATTCAAAGTGATACCTGTCAAAGAGCAATGTTAACTTTCATGCAGAATCAGATTGGACTCCATAACTATGTACGTATCTAGTGCAGTGATGACACAACATCCCTGGGCAGAGGGCTTCCTAGACTGAAATCAACAGCCAGAGCACCCGGTTCTCCAACAGAATCAACAGCCACATGTCTGTAACCAAGGTGAGCCATCAAGTTTGAGGACACTGGCAGCAGTTTAGCTTGGAGAGGGATGGGCTCCACCAGGTCTACTTGCCCAATACATGCTACTCATGAATGAATACATTTCAGGCTTCCAACCCAGAAATGTGAAGGGAACTGGTAAGGGGCTTAACTGTGAACTGACCCTACAATACTGATACTATTGACACTCACATAAAAAGAAAGAGATGGTTTTATCTCGGCCTCAAGTATTTTTGTTTGACAGGCCAGCAGATGGATCCTTCTGAAGTTCAGTCTTCTAAGCTGCATCCACAGCATTCATCCAAAGGGGAACAGGAAGTAAAAAGTGTAGGAGGGTTTTTGGAGATCAAGTGACAACAAAACCGGAAATTGGGTATATCCAGATGCTAGTCTATATTAACAGTTATGTTTGGGGTTAGAAATAATTCTGGCCTGCCCTTGGCAGGAGATAGACTTGTCCGTTGCATGATTCCTGTATCATATTGCTAGCCACCACATTAAGATATGTAGATGGGCAAGGAGTTGGTAGGGGAAAGCATCACCTACCTACCCACCCAGACAAGCAAGCGAAGCCCTAAATAAAAAAAAAAAAAACATTCTTATTACTTGATGTGGCATTTGTGTTTTATTGTTACCTAGTGAGCAGCAGTTGGCCCTCTCCCAGTTTCTGGTGACATTGACGAGATCAAGAATTGAAAAGGATAGTCATTGGCCAGTTGCTGAAAAGCTTGGGTGAGAGTTATATTTAAGAGATTTATTAAATGACAAAAATCTCTTCTACGATATTTGTGGATCTATAAAGTTTTTTCTTCTATATATAAAATGTCCTTGTCAACAAATTAGTTTATGTCTACCTAAACAATATAGCAACACAGAATTTCAATTGCCTTCTGTGAGGTTTAAAAAGACAGTTTTATTTCTATTTTTTAAAAATTCTTAAATCGTTTCCCCATTTGATAGTGACCAATTTGTATGCTGTGTAATTTCAGTGGGAACCACTCGTTTAAAATGTACCCAGGCTGACAACTGTTTTATACTGATCACCAAAGAATCTGTATGACTAATAGGAATCTTACTTAAAATAAAACCAACAGAGCAACAATTTTTTTTTTTTTTTAAAGAAAGTCATTAAGTAAATTTCAACTTCAATGTATAAATAAGCCAGTATATGATGACACACTAGTGGGCCATGACACGATTGCAGGTCTGCTATGAACATTTTTAAAAGGTTGTTAATAAAAATATATTTTCAAAAGAAGTCTAATGCACAATAAGTGTACATGTTAAAATTAAAATCCATTTAAATTGATTATACCAATATAGTCTTGTTATAGATATTATATCATTTTGGCTAACCCTTCAGCATGAATTTACAAATATTAAACAAAAAAATACACACACAATAAATTGTTTTGTTTGTGTTTAGAAATAAATAAAATCATGAAAAGTAGTATACACTTTTTTTGATCATAATTTAAGTGTGCTGTGTAAGTTTATAGGTTCAAGTGTGTCAGAAGATAAACAAAAAAATAAAAATAAAAAAAAGATTACTAAATTTGACTAGAAAAAAGAAAATAAGTTATCTTTTAATATTTTTAAAACAAAAAAAATATGATATCATTAGGTTATTTTTAAAATAACTATATATTATCACTAGGACAATAAATGCAAATTATTTAATAATTTAAAATGTAGTTTTGATTGTTTATAAATTCACTCACATACTGGTAAGAACTTAACTGGATGAAGAATTGCCACTAATGTGGGAGGTATTTCTGCCTGTACACTGTATAAAAGGAAGAATTTTTTTTCTTAAATTTGTGTTGACAAACTGAGATCTTAAAGTTTTAAGATATTCAAATAAACAGGTCTAGATTTTACAATGAAGAAACAAAAAAAAAAAAAAAAAAGAAAAAGAAAATTTTTAGTTTTGAAAAAGAGACTGATTTTGTTGTCAGATTAGAGTCCAGCCAGGAAATTTGAACTTTACACAAATTCCATAAATCTTTTCTATCTTTTTAAATACAAACTGATTTTCTTTTTCAGTGATTGATACTTTCCTAAAAATGTTAAAAAACTTAAAGACTTCTAAAATCCAATAGAAAATATTTGATTCAATCAATCACATCAGTTGCTGCAAAGTCACAATATACACTCAAGATGAAACAACTGTCTGCTGATTAAAATAAATGGCAATAAAAACAATTCTTTCAAATTCCTTCATATTGTGGGTGAGCTGGCCTGCACATAAAACAAAGCATAATTTGCTGCCACATGATCTTCTTATGCTAACAAATGAAATAAGAAATGTTTGTGTTACAATTTTTTTTTGCTATTAAAAATTTATTATAATTACTCCAGTAGTTTAAGTATAATTTTCACCAACACCAGTCATATTTTTGCTTACAGTAACTTGTAAATATAGTTACAAATGGTAATGGTTACTATACAAAGATAAACACATAAAAGGTTTTAACATAAAAAAACTATTCTCTAAGAGACAACTTTTTAATGCATAAACCTTCCTCAGATTCATAGCAATATTTAAATAAAGAGATTACCATGACCTGAGTATAAAAAAAATACAAACAACATATTTGAATTTTCTATATTAGACATTTCAGCCATAAATAGACAATTTTTTTTTTTTTTTTTTTAAACTGCCACCTTCTTTCAGGACATAAACAAACATGACTGTCTACCGATTCCTTTTCTTTATTATCTGTGAATTGTGACAACTTTGTGGAAAGATAGTAGAGTGGTTTCTCCACAATTTGGAAGAACTAAGTGCCAGACAAGTCTAGAGAGGCCAATCTACCCTTTTTCATGGGCATCAGTGCAAAAGTGAAGGTCACAGACCAGGCTGGAATTTGAACTCTCTCTGTTGATTACAAATCCCATACCCACTCTCAATTACACAATCCACATACAATATAACAGAGGATAAAACTTTACATGTTTAACAGTCACCAAACCTGATCTTCCCTTCTTAATTACAATATATTCTAATGTTATGTCAATAGGAGGCATTACTAGGTGTCTATAAAACAAATATAAGGTAACCAGGTAGCTAATAATATATTGCCTTTTTTTTCCCTTTAATTTTTCTTTGACGTTAGCTTTTTGGGATATTTTTATTTTAAGGATTTAACAGATCGGCTCCCACACTACCCACCAAAGAGTCATGGTAGTATATCTGAAAGGCACACTTTCAATTTCTTTTCTATGAGAATTATTGGGAGCGGGATGCTATGACTGATGGCTTATGATGATGTGTTCTCTTCCAGAAACTGTAAAATCTGCTAAGTACAGTTGAAGCATAAACCACAGGTTGGCTCCGTGGGTTTTGAACAAACACAAATGTGCCTGAGCAGGCATCTGCAAAAACAGAGACTGGTTAGCTGCCCCAGCAGACAGGTATACTTGGAAATGAGTGGCCAGTCATTGGGGGATGGATTCATGCCTTTTCCAAAGACACTTGTCAGAAAGTGAACACAACAGAAAAACCTTGAAGTCACCCAACTGATTTCATATTTCCATGCCTATTACACACCTCAGGCTATATATATATATATATATATATATATACACACACACACACACTTGCCCCATCAGACCAACTACACTTTATTAAATGATATAAATTCAGCCAAACGTGATAAAAAAAATAAAATAAAAATAAACAGACATTTAAAAAAATAAAAATATGACTAAAGTCTTTCCTTTATTTGGTGTGTGTGTGTGTGTATATATATATATATATATATATATATATACACACACACGTTAGTATTGAAAATCAGCCGATTCTGCTATCTTTGATTAAACCTTTCAGTATCTTCAGGCGAATTCAACGGATTGAAACCACCTGAAGATACCAAAAAGTTGAAACCAAGGTAATGGAATCAGCTGATTTCCTAATTTTCTATACTTAAAAGCTCTACATGTTAAATTTTTAGCTTTTTATATGTGTACTGATCACTTTTTTTAATATTACTGTTTCCTGGTCTAATTCAACTATGATCATATTAACTTTTTTTATTATTGTGTGTGTGTGTGTGTGTGCGTGCGCGTGCGTTTCATTTCCTTGCGGCTGTAATTTATTTATAGGCCAAATGAAATCAATTTCGATTGCCTATGGAAAGGGAATCAAACGGAAATAAATGCTTGCGGTTCAGCTTTTTATGACGGGAACTCGATTAAGCAAACAAAACTACTCAGCCCTTTCGTAATTGGCCAGTTTCGTACTTGACTTGACACTAAAAACATTAACAGGTAGAAAACGGCTTGGCAACAGCAGGGAGAATCGGGCATAAAAAGCAGCCAACACTATGTCAGTGGCAGTTGTTACTCGAAGAGAGACTTCTAGAAAGTTGTTAAAGACAGAAAGATATATGATGTGAGAGATGGGAAGAGAGTTGAATTTTAATATTAAAAATCTGTACAAGTGCACACCAACCAAATATAAAGTAATTTTTTTAAAATTTATTTTAACCTAAGCTACAGGGATATTTGAAGCTATTCGAAATATTTAGCAGAGAACAGTCATACGCCAACTTTTATCAAACAAAAAAAGTGAATTGGATTCACAGTTGGTGATCAATTTGCAATGTACACAGCATATAAAAATTGGACCCTTACATTATGTCACTTGAGGTACACAAGGACAAGGTAAATATAAATTTTAGACAGACTAAATGTAGTGTAAATCGATCACGTAAACTAAACAAAACCACTTTTTTTTTTACGAAACGTAAACAAACCTTACCAGAAAAAGCAAAAAGCGGTTCAAAGTACATAGAAAATAATTTTTCATTAATTACATTTTCTTTTTATAGCGGACTTCACCCTAAGGCTATAGGGGCCACTTGAGGTAGAGAGTTAGCTAAGAAGAGCACATGCGGATATGTGGGGGAAGATAACGGTTCGGGTTAACCCTAGACTTGAACAGGTTATGAACGATTGTAGGCATCGGGAAAACATCCTCTTGGGAGTCGGTTCCAGAGAGCAGTGGTCCGCGTGAAGAAGCTGCTCGAGGGGAACTTATTTCTCACCAGTGGAATACGAAAGATGTAGGGGTGGTTGGCTATAATGCACGTAGCATGGCGGGTCCTAGCCGTGATGGTTAGAACTGGTTGAAAAGGAATGTACTTCGTCAGAGCACTTTCCATGAGAGTAGTGATATAAATGATTGCGATATCGCGTTTATTTATTTTCAACCAAGCCACATGAACATGCAATATTTGATTTAAAGGCAAGGCATTGCGCTACGAAAAAGTTTGAAAACCACTGCCCCACTAAAGATTTAGTAATAATAACAATCGCCAACCATTTATAAAGGATTTATTTTTGCTACTTTGAAAATAATTTACTTTAAAAATAAAACTTTTGAAAGGGTAAAAAAGGGTTTGAGATTTTGCATTTTGATTAAGTAAAAATCATATTTTTAAAAAAAACGTAGAGGTGACTATGATTTAGTTAAAAGATAAATAAACTGTTCTTGTCAAATTACCATGGTGACATCTTTTGATTCAGAGTTGTCATGTGGAGTTTAAATATTTAAGGCTAAGATTTATTTGCATTTGTGGACACTTCACAGCACATGGCGCATTGTACGCTGCCATCTTTGAATACCCAGAATGCTTTGCCCCCAATTTGACGTCATTCAATAATTGCCTTCATTGGAGAAGAGAAAAAAAATGCTTGTCAATTACATTTACTCTTGTAGACTTGGACAAGTCCCAATTAGTCACTATACTCAAACTCTTGCTAACTTTTAATTTTCTTATTTATTATTACTACTAGGGGGAAAACATCAAAATAGTGGTCTTTTTTTTCCATCTTTGTTTATTTTGAGAGGAAACGTAAAAAAATAAAAACATCAGAAAAAAAAAAACAAACTAAAATGAACATAAAAAAGTACAAAAAAACTTTCTACGCAGCAGTGACAAAAAAGTATGTTATTCAAATTTAAATTCAACTAAATAATTTTAGAATGTGTTAAAACTTATATCCTTTCTAAATTTAAATTAGAATTATACAAAAAGACAAAAGATCTTTTAAGCCGTTTGAATAAAAAAATTATAGAGAATATTTTTGTTTTAAAAAAGACAATGTTCCGAAATGACGATATGATCTCAATTCCTGGCTATTCTTTTTTTAGTTTAAAATAGAAAACAATACGTAAGGTGTGAATTAATTAGAAAATTAAGGACTATTGATAATAATAGTAATAATAATAATAAATTAATCTATAAACAATATGATTATGATTTAACGCAGCAACCAGTATTTATGATCTAAATTTCAAATAACGCTACTGCCTGACTGACGGCTGCTGGGAAAAATTGAACGACAGCTTTTTAGGAAAACAGACATTTTAAAAGGAGTGGCGTGTAGATTTAGTTTACAAATATATATGCCTTTTTCTTTTTTTGAACCTTCGTATAATAAATCACACAGTAAAGAATAATAATAAAAAAAAAATCAAGATTTTAAAATATAGTTTCTTTATATTTACTTTTTCTAATGGCAGAAAAACGAATGAAAATCCCCCCAAAATCTCACCTCGTTTGTTCGCTTTGCCCTGTTTCTTCGCATTTTCTAATTCTGTCTGAATTTTCCTTTCCAAGAATTCAGATTTTTTTATCAGCATTTCCTCGATTGCTCGAAGTTTTTCTATTGCTTCTTGTGGGGTGGGAGCTTTATCATTGCTCTTGCTCGTGCCAAACAGTTTCTCAAATATACTATTCATTACCACTTTGTATACGATCACCCCAAAAAAAATCAAGACTTTCACCAGCTTCTGTGTCACTGTATTATAATTTTATACAATACAGTTCCGATATAGGAATCAGTTGTTTTGTTTTGTTTTAAAGTCCCGTTAAAAAAGTAAATCCTACAAGTAGGCTGTCGACAGACGAAAAATGTTGATATCTATATTTTTGTGTAAGTACACAAGACTGGCCTTTCTGTTTCTTCTCAAAACACACAGTCGTTGTTACGCGCTTGTTGATTGGTTTAATCCATAAAAGGGAGATAACTGCAATAATTTTATCCACAGGTGTTACGTATTTATTTATTTATTTGTGACACATTTCTTTTTTGTCAATAAGTATTTATTTACCAACATAAGATTCAAAGACACATAGTAAGTTATCCAAAAAAAAAAAAAAAAATTCCTTTGTTCCCTCAATTATCAATATTTGACCCTTAATGCAGAGAGGAGGTACTGCCTAAGGGATGGACCAATTTATTAGCTCACAGTCTCAAAGAGTCAGAATCAGAACTAAATTTAAAAAAAGGTTGATAAATACTAAAGGACTCAAAGCTAGATCTATATAATGAACTGTCCTTAATGAGTCTTGCTGACACATAATCAAATGATTCTACAATTTTATTATATATCCTGAAAACTTAAAAAGCATGTGATTTGTAAAATAAAAAGGGAAACCCATTTTTATGTCTATCATTTAATTTACAAATTATGTTTTGCTTTTCTTTTACTTTTTTAAACATTTGTTTTTAACTTCGAATTAATGGCACCATTCACAAAATTACTAAAGACATCTAAAAAAAACTCTAACACCACTACTTGGTACTATCACTTCAGTACATCTAAAGAATCCTGGTAACTTACTAAATAAAATAAGCTGAAAATGGATATAAAAAAAAAACAAGTTTATGGCTAGCTTACATATTAATTCCTCATATACTAATATCCATTATATATTTAAAAAATAGATATTTCAAAAAATATAAATAAAAGTTATTCATCATAACCATTTTAACAGTAACCTTTTACTTTGAGTGGCTCTCGAGCCTTGTATGAGAAACCTTTAAAAAAACACTGTAAAACTTACGTTTTGCAAATAAAATGTTTTCATTTTTAACTTGTTTCTGGATTTCATCTATTTTGGTTGTTCTCATCTTCCCTTCCATTCTGTTAAGGTGTTAGTATATAACAGGGTAAGTAAGTTAGAGTTGATGTCATAGTAATCCTGACTTGATATTATTTGAGTGTTGTTAAAGTAATTACCCCAATGCTATATGTATTTGTAGCCTAGGAGAAATCCTTTTCTCTTTTTTATATTGAAAACGAAATGAAAACGTAAACAATAACATAAACAATAAAAACTTGAGACACGTGTTGACATAAAGAGCTAGAATTTGTATTTTCTTTTTGTGATGTGAATTACAGAATATTGGTATGGTGTGTGTAAAAATGTCCTTGGTGTCTTTTGTTTAAAACTCAGTGCTTACTTGGTTTGGTTCCGAGAATTTCGTTTGTGAGGATGGCATTTGAAATCGTCTGTTGTCAATCTTCACAGAATACTGGCAAAGACATAAGTTTCAGTACTACTATAGGGTACCCTATTCTATCTAGCATTCCCTACTCTACTGACTTTGTTGTGGTGGAAGCGTCATTTTTATAACGATGAGAGGAGTATGATGAAATATCCTTCTTTTCTATCATCACTAATGACAAGGTTATTTCTAGAATGATAACATATCATCATCATCATTCTAGACCATAACAAGTATATCATGGATGCACTAATGCCTATAGTGGACCTTGGGAAGTGGAGAAGACCAAAAAATTTTCACTCTTTTTACAAGCATTGCATTAATAGTCTCTGGAATTAACTGCACTACTCACAAAATTGTTTAGTGATTATCTACTTCAGTAATTAAATGTGTAATGTTTCTTACGGGAACATTTTGTAGTACATGAAATAATGGTGGTGTAAAAGAGTACATGCACAAAATAACAGACCAACTGATTTGCAGTGCAAGATAACATTTATTAGACAAATTAACAAAAGGAAAGTTTAAAACAAGAGTTTCTTTTTTTAGACACAAATTGTATGCACAACAAAATGTTCATGAATATGTTTGAGTGAGAACTTACTTTTTTGTGTGTAGTGTTCACAATTCTTTTAACTTCAGCGTCAGTTCAAAAGAGGAAAAACCTGGAAGAGAGAGTTACTTTAATTTGTGGCTGTTTGTGGCCCGTGGTACTGATTCTCTGATAATAAATTTTTCTTACCCTGTCTTAATGTTAATTGTTGTTCACAAATTTATATGTTTTATTCTCTATTGACCTTTGAAGCTTAAGGAACAATAACTAGTCAGATTTTTTAATACTTTTACTATTTTTTGTTTATTTATTTTTTAATATTTATTTTAAATATTTATTTTATTTTAATATCTATTATTTTTTAATATTTTTACAATTTTTTTATCTATTACCTTATTTTTTATTTATTATTTATTTATTCATTTATTTTTTATTTATTACTTTTTAATATTTTTTAATATTTCATTTTTAATATTTATTTTAAATATTTATTTTATTTTAATATCTATTATTTTTTAATATTTTTACATTTTTAATTTATTACCTTATTTTTATTTAATATTTATTCATTTATTTTTTAATTATTACTTTTTTAATATTTTTAATATTTCATTTTTTAATATTTATTTTAATATCTATTATTTTTTAATATTTTTACAATTTTTTAATTTATTACCTTATTTTTTTTTATTTATTACTTTTTAATATTTTTTAATATTTTATTTTTAATATTTATTTTATTTTAATATCTATTATTTTTAATTCTACAATTTTTTTTTTATTACATTATTTTTTTATTTATTTTTCATTTATTTATCATTTATTTTTTTTAATAATTCTGGATATTATTTTTATTTTTTAATATTTATTTTAAATATTTATTTTATTTTTAATAGTATTATTTTTTTATATTTTTACCATTATTTTATTTATCACTTTTTTATTTATTTTTTAAAATATTTCATGTTTTAAAAAATTTATTTATTACTTTATGGTAAGTAATTTTTTCATTACTTTTTGTCTCCTTGTGGTATGATATCCACATAAACTGTGCCTCTTACTCTGTAACCCTTTATCTCAAATGGCCGCTGTGCCTTGTACAGGGTGAACCTCACTGTTAAAAAAGCAATGTGTGTCATAGTAACTAGACATGTTTTGTTTCCAGTGGAGAGGGGGCATTTGTTATTCACCAGGTGATCTAATTTTTATTTGTGTTGAGAAATTTGATTTCCTTTGTATTTACTCAGTGCAATGAGTCATTAATCCTGGGTATCATATTCAGTATTTAGACATACGCCCATTATGCAAACGTAATGTGACACAAAGTTGAGTTTAATGTAGCTTTATTGCAACACCATAGAAAAATTTTCATGCCTCTTTCGTACTACACCATTTTGGGGATATCTCAGGCACCAGGCCATAAACCCAGCCCACTGGAGAGGTACTGCCTGGGTGGATGTCCCCCTGAAGCTTGAGCCAATATTATTGGCAAAGGAGTTTGATTCTTTGAAGATTAGAATATAAATACTCACATATCATATTCTATTCTTTCCTTACTGTTTGGTCATTTATATTGTCTCTCTGCCATAGATATGCTAATTAGTCAGTCATTTACATATCACTACAATTATTTATTACCTGTGCTGGGCTAACATTTTCTTCCTTTTCCCAATCAGACTTGGCTGGTCATGTGACCCATAATAGCCAATCGGTAACACCTTACTCTGTACAGAAAAACAGTTTTGGGGCTGATGCTGTGAAGAGAAGATGCTTCCTTGATAAAGAAAAGAAAATGCAGTCTCTTACAACATGACATGCTGGATTTGTAAGAAAGCACAGACGTTTTAAATATTTGCTTAGCTTTCCTTTTCTGGGTCACAGAGAAGATATTCAAAATATTTTTGTACCTTGTTAGCATGCACAAAGCTTGAAAATAATTTTGGTACATCCTCATATATAACACTTATGGAAAATATATCTCTTTCTTGGTTCATTTAGGTGGATTGCAAAAGGGAGAGTGAAAAATGACTTGCAACTTGTGCAAAGTTTAATTGAACATTGTTATCAATGACAAAAAAAATAATCACATCTCTATCTATAAAAGGCAGGATGTATGTGTGTGTGTGTGTGTGTAACAAATGCACGGCCGCAATTTTTGACAGATTTGCACCAAAATTTACATGCACATGCTCCAAGTTAGCGGGAAGGCCAAGACTGACTTTGCATTTCCCAACTCCCATCGATAGTTGAAATAATTGATTTTTTCATGCTTCTACGGCAGTTTTCATGTAGTTTGTGGACATTTTCTACTGGCCAGAGTAAGAGCCTATAGCTGGCTGACACGAATGTTAACAAGCATGCTAGCATGCAAAAAAAATCGATAGCTGCATTCGTCACAAGTGGGAAAAATTTAAATCTGCATGGCACTTTACTCCAATTAACTCATTTGCTTGCTTAAACTCAACGTTGATTCTGATTCCGTAGAACTGGGTTGGGTGTGAAAAGTATTTATTGTTAACATTCTGTTTTCATTCAGTTTTTCCAGTTATGAGTCCTTTTTTTTAAAGCTGATTGTTTTGTGCTAATTTTGTTTAATTCTTTTTTCGTAACAGATTTAATGTTTAGTATAAGAACAGTGTGATATAGGCAAGAAGTAAGGCATGTAGCAACATCAGCACGGCAAAGGGCACTCCTTTAAAGGCAAGGAAGGGCAAAAATATTTTAAGTCAAGTGATAGCGATTGCTGTATGAGTCATACAATTTTTGAATCAAGCACGGGCAACGCCGGGCCATGCTGCTAGTGCTATATAATTATTAATTTTTATTAGAGGTGAATTTATGTTTTCATTTTTATTATTTTCTTGTTTCCTGCATTCTTGCTGCATTGCAACCTG